GCTCACCTAGAAGAAGAAAGAGATCCCTCACAAGTGTGGACCGTCACGCATTTCGCAGCGACGGATGTTCGCTCGGCATGTTTGCTGGCCTTAGATCCCTAGGCGTATAAGAAGAGGTAGCATTAACGTCGAAGAGGGCAAAGCCGGTGTCGCAATCGCATCGGTGCGGAGATCAACGAGCAAGGAAAGGGACCATTCCTCGGGTTCTGGGAATTAGTCATAGTTTTCCCTCGTTCATCCCGGCAGGACTGGTCACCTCTATCTTAATTATAATGGGCTTCCTTCTCATAGTGAATTCCACCTCAACTAACCACAAGCGGGAACTATTAGATTAGACATAAACCACCAACAACTTCCTATGAGGTCGGAGATGGGACCAGTTATGTGTGGACCGGTGGCTTGAACATAAGACAGACCATTGCTGAGACATCGCCACAACAAAACGGTATCAAGTAGCTCACTCGGCAGCTCACCTGGATTGGTTTTTTGTCTGTTTTGGCATTGTAGACGAGGAGAGTATTGCCCTGGAGGCGAACGTAGCAAGGCTTCCAGAAACGTTCAGCCATGAACGACTTCTTCTTTATAGGATGCCTGAACTGACGAGTTGAGCACACACAAAACATCATCTGTGCATTGAGAAAAATGAAATAATTTTCATACCTAACCATCAGATCCCAACCTTCTCCCGTGAATTTCGGTGTGAATTCCGTAAGCGGTTCTGAATCATCCTCGTCATAGAGTGGTGTGGGAGTTTCCATATCCATTCCCTGAAATTGTTCGCCCATAAGTGGTTTGAGCGTATCTCGAGATGAATAAGTATAAAATAAAATTTCTAATAAAAGCGAGCAAATAATTGTATAATAAAGTATATAAGATATCTTGTACCTCGCATTTGAAAGTCATCTTCAAACGCATCTGGACGATGAGAAGGACTAGTAACCGCGCTGCCTCCTTCCGGAGTCGGCGTTGAAAGTTCAGGACTTTGTCTGAAAGTTTGCGGTGAATTTGCCAAAAGTGATAAATGCACGAAAAGATAAGAAGGAAAAAAGAAAATATGCTAGGGTTCGTTGCACGGAATTCTCGAAAGTTACCGTTTGCCCTCTACAATCGGGCAGCCGATCAACTGCGCTTGCGAGATGGTTAGCCTTGTCTTATAAGGGTCCAGTCGAATTGTTATTTTGCAAAAAAGACAACACATCACTTAACATGTAGCGCACTTGCCCGGAAAGCGAGAGGTGCGGGTTCTAGTCCCGCCTGGGGCGAAAGTTTTGTTCACAACCCAGCATTCTTGTGAAACATTCGCAACGCGAACTGCGGCGTTAAAACAGCAGTTAACAAACGAAAAATAGACAAAATAGAGCTTGTTTTTGGTGTTTGTTAACTGCTGTTTTTGGCTGTATTAAAGCGAGAGGTAGGGTTCTAGTACTGCCTGGGGCGAAAGTTTTGTTCATAACCCAGCATTCTTGTGAAACAAAATAGAGCTATAAATACTCGGAGCGACCTGAGGCAGAACAGTGCGTTGGGTCAGGCAAACTGCCGGGTCTTGCGAGAAGTGATTCCCTTCGAAACCCCGTCAAGAGCTACTCAAGTGGGGTAGGAATTAGTCTGCCTGGCTGCTTCAGAATTTGTATTGCGGTTTTGGTAGGGAGTCGACGAAAGTGAAAAGATCGAAAAGCGTTTGTATTTCTGGAAGTCAAAGAGGTCCAGATCGAAAGAGAGGGGCGTTGCTTACAAAGTTTTCGACGATTTTGGCGAATATTTTGGTAAATAAGCCTGAAATTCACAAAATGGGGGTATTTGCCTTTTTGCGATGCATGTTCTTCATCCTCCCACTCGGGGCTTTTTTGGAGGCAGTGTGGGCGTGGTTGGGTTGTGTCAACTTGTCCCAGTATAACACAGTATGGAAGCAAGGCAGCTGTGGTAAGGAGGGGTGAGAGGGGGCGTCTCAAGTCTTTGAAATCGGCCGAACACGATGGTTGGCCCTGGTGGGGATAGCCTCTCCTCCAAGACCACTGTTGCTCAGTTTTAAGCCGCTAAACGACCTATCACCCCTCTTTTGAACACCTCTCCCACTCACGGGATGGATCACTCAAATTCTTCGCGGAATATGTCTTTGGTTCCTATTTTTAAAACATGAGGAACTTGAAAAACAGAAAAAATAAGCTGTCAAGCTGAGAATTTTACGAATAGTAGGGGAACAAATCTCGCAAGTAGAAAAGCGGTTCAATAATGAGCTGTCATTTGCCGGACAGACGATGGGCCGCCAGGAATTCGGCGAGCGCTTTCGCCAGCGCTTCGTCGACCCCGCCTTCGACGCCGAACGCGAGGC